GCCTACCCTGAATGTTTAAAACAGAAAAATAAGGAAACCATGCTTAGATTAATAGATTTTTTCTTGTGAAAGCGATTGTTGTGTTACCTTGTAAACAGCTCCGAACCCACCTCGTCCAAGCTTATTTGCGTCCGAGAAGTCATCTGTTGCAGATCTTATAGTTTCAAAATCATATTGCAACGATTCCACCAGACTAACGTCTTCCAAATTCTCATCTGAAAAGGGAAAAATGAATTAGCGAACAGAGTTCCAAAACCTCAGATAAGATAAATAAACAGAGTTGAACTTACCTTGTTCAAGTTTTACCCTTCGTTTCCTTACTCTGAAGAAAAAGCATATGCTGCTGACAATAGTGACAAAAACAACCAAAACCACAACGATGATGATGACAGTTTGTTTTGTGTTACTCTTCTTTTTTGCTGAAAATCAGATGGGATATCTTATCAAAAGCCAAAACCACACCACACAACAGTAAGACATGGATCAAATTGAAGATATGCGAGGTAACCATACTATACCATACATACCTTCTTCAGGTGCTGGTGCTGCCGGAACTGGAGCTGGAATATCTACTAACGAATTGGCTGTAGACCCAAAGAAAAGACTAACCTCATACCTTAAATTGCAGCTGGGTTTAAGAACTCTTCCTCCTTGCTTTCCACCGCAACAGGTTTGAATTTCTGTGACGGACTGTTTAAGGCAACTGCTGCAATTTTGCTTGTCTATGTCTGGAGTGCACTGAGCAAGTGCGTATATTGTTTCACCTCCAGGGACAGTTGCATGGCCTGCTGCAAATTTTTTAAGAGAATCCCCTGACGCAGCTTTTTCACTTAAGATATCCAACAAGGGGCTAAGCACCAGCTCAAACTGTTGGGGATTTTTAGCAGGGTTTGGGCTAGGCACATACTCAAGAGGGTCCTCTTGTTTAATACCAAATATCAAGTTGTATGAGTATCTCACCATACAATCTTCTGCCCATATGATTGCTTCCTTTTGAGTTGAACAATTTTGCAAGAGAATATCAGTAGACTTGTTGAGAC